CGTCTTCTGTCAAAAAGCTCTGAAAACATCGCGCGCGAACGAGCAAAAATCAATTAGAAATAAACAAGTCGAATATCGTGTATTGCGATACAGTGTATATTTCACGCACGTCTTTACGTAGTGCTATGCAGACAACGATTAGCCGCGATGCAGTAAACAATAATTAAGGATGATTTGTGCGGTGGCGTGGTGTTACACGCGTCGATAACGCGAATCGCGCGCGCCTATAAGACAAGTGCCAATACTAGTTTAGTTGAAGTTGAGTTTATTTCTTATCGAGTTGAGGCTTACATGCTCATGCCCCGAGAGAGAGAGAGAGAGAGAGGAAGAGACGGCTATATATCGATCATAACTGGATTGATGGACGCTCGAACTGCAGTCGACACTGATTGATCACAATAGGATTTGCGCTCGTGTGCTGTAATTAACGAGAAAACTCCCTAAACGCATCGACTGTCGAAATCGAAGCTCGCTTCACGGACACGAAATGCAGAGAAATATGTATAAAAATCGAAAGCCTTTTAAAAACTGGCGTTGCCGGTGCTTGCGACAATTTTCTCGGTTAATCGCGCGCGCGCGCGTCAAAAAGTCGCATGAAAGAAACCATCTCTCTTTCGCCTACTAGCAGCTGTGAGTATGTGTGTACGTCGATGCTGCCTGGAGGTGTGTCTCGCCATTCCAGACATAGTATGTGTGTGTGTGTGCGCGCCAGTGTGTGCGTAGCTGTCAGTGTTCGTAATAACCTTTGACTATTACGGTATATAGAACAGCGACGTGGTCGTCGTGCGTCGAATGTATACGCTTTATAGACCACCAATGTGTGTGCGCGTGGTGATGAAAGAAAAAAAGGCTCGTCAACCGGTTTTTTTTCTCTTTCTCACTCTTTTGCTCGTGCAATTCTAAATAGTCATGCGGGTCGAGCAGTTATTTCTTTGCCTCTTTTTTTTCTCTCTCTCGTATTGCTCTCAACGTTCCGGAAATTTTATTGGGAATTACGACGCTTTGTAATGCCATTGATTCATCGTTTCGCTCGTGGTTGAATTTATTTTCGACATACTCGCGAATTCTTCGCCGCGACTCCGCAGAGACGATAATTTCTACTTTGGAAACACGCATGCTGCTGAATAATTGCGCCAGCAGTTCTGAGCGCCCGCGAGTACACTGGAGACGGAAAATTACGATCGTCGGGGATGTTTCTTCATTCGATCGATTAATTGGTGAATCGATGAAATCGAGAAATTTGAAGTAGAGTCTCGATTTCCATAATTAACGTGTGTATGCAGCGAAGCGAGCATATATTATTTAGCGATTAAAGCTGCGTACTATAGACACGTTTGCGGGCATTTTTTTTATTTACAACATTGAGGATATCTTTATAAGCTGTAATATACGCTTCGTTTTGCTGCTTTCAGGATGTTCGTGCGTAATAATTGCATACGTGAATGACCGACTGAATAATGCTCCGACATTCCTGCAAAAAAAGTGCCTCGTCATGATTCTCGCGCAGATCTGCACCTGCAGCCGCGCAATGACTTTGAAAGTGTACATTTCGCTCTCATAAACAAACATTTCATCGTGACTCGGTCAATCAACTTTTGTATATATTGCATCAGCCACTTGTATATAGCTGCTCCGTACCAAACATATCCATACGCTCGAGAAAGTCGCGCGACACTCGTTCCGCAGCAAGGCGAGATTATGCGACAGACAATAAATAATATTCGAAATCGAATATTAGTGTAAACATGATCGAGAGTAGCCATATTATTCAATTATTCAAGCTGCAAGATCGAGGACGAAATTATTTGTACACTCACGAAAATAAGAATATCATCATATCAGCGAGTAATGACGATCAGTTTTTACGAATGTAAACGAAATTTCGTTTAGCTACCACAATTTTCAATCATCAAAGTTAAGTCAGTCATCAAAAGTTGTCATATAATCGATTCATTGCATTTTGTGGTTAATGCGAGCTATGGCGAAAAACACGGAGCATGAAAGCTCCTTTGAACATGCACACAGAATGTAAAATATTATATATTATTTTATATACGTTCATAGTACGGATATGTGTGCCAAGAGTTTACTCCCACGACGAGAGTTTTGCATTTTCCGTACGAGCCGCGTCGAGCTGATTTTTTACGTGCGCATCCATTATCGTTTCGTTAGAAATCACGATTTAATTTTTTTTACGCTCTAATGCACTCGGCGATGCACGCACGCGCATAATACGTATAAATATGTCACGTGCCTCTAAATTATCGCTCTCACATACATTGTATAGAAAAGTTGAAAAATAGTACATGCTCGCGCGCGCCTCGTAAACTGCTGGCGCATCGCTTGCGTCGGGTCATCGCGCGATGACTTTGCTGAACGAGCCTGCACGTCTAGCCACGACACGTGAATGAAGACGCAATCACGTGTGTGTGTATGCGCATATCAGCTCGATTAAACTGCGGATAATCTTTACGATCGACGCGGCGCTGCGAAGCTCGACCCTTTTTTTCGTCTCTCTCTCTCTCCCACTCAATTGAACTATTAGTACGCAAGCTTCGCTCCATATACGCGAATATGACGAAATAGAAACAATCAACCTGTTTGATTTACTGTGCGCTTTTTATTTTTAGCCTGGCATACGACGCGCGACAATCGCGATTGACGCACAAATCATTACGACAAAGCTCCGTTTTCAGACTCCTGTTACAGACTATATTTGCATTAGCTCTCCGACATTATATCCTTGCTGCTTGGCACACTATTTGTTATAATTTTTCTGGAATTTGTGAAAGGGCGAGAATGACCACCGTCTATACAGACACATGCGCGAAATGATTAAGCCCAGGTTGATTTTTCTGATAAAAGCTGCTCATACGTCCCGTGTACTGGCGAGCATGCGGGCAGGAAGAAAAAAAATTCTGTGTCGTGACGTGTAGCCGCGCGTACATTTTTTAACGCTCCAACGTGCAGCGTGAGCGAGCTCAACACGTGCGCGCAATTTCGCGGACCTCGATAGAATTTCGTGAGTCCTATTACTCTTTTCAACGCACACATCCACTTACAAATACGCGTTTGAGTTTTGCACGTGAGTTGAGAGAAATAGAGAGAGAGAAAGAGTTGGGGAACCCAGCGTTAAGGTGGGTTTTTATTATTTTTCTTATACATTTTGCACCACGTTGTAGCATTACGTGCGAAATTTCTTTTCTTCTTTCATCACACCGAAAGACGAATAAGCTTCATGGTGAAATTTCTCTTCCCCGGTAATAAATATCGTAGATTTTGAATTCGTTACGTCTATATTTTTCTATGTCATACTTTCAGTTTGGATTTACGACCATCAATGTTGCATATGAATTGTTTTTTTGCAGAATTTTAAATTGTCTTTGTATTTTGCGTAAAGTACATTTTTAAATATTTCATTTGTTTTCAAATACGATGGATATGAAAATTACTTAATTGAGATTAATCCTTTTTATCACGAATGATCATCAAGAGCTTTAAAGTGCACTTGAAGATCAACTAAAAAATCTTGATATTATTATAATTTCTAATTTTTTATTCAAATCTTTTAGGCAACATATAGCTCTAAACCTTATGAATGTATTACATCACCCATTTCAATAAATATTTTGATCTTTTCGACAATTAAAGGTATTTCGATATCAAATAACCTTCAATTCAAATAATTATCTATCACAGTACGTCCATTGCCCATAATAAAAACAGCGAAATTTCGATTTTTATGCGATCTTTTTTTTTATTTTGGTATGCTCGTAATGCAATGATTTTTCATACCATATACTTTACCGAATCGATGTATGCTCGCTGTACATTTCTGTGATATCCAGATCGTCAAAGAAGTGACATTTCCATATTCGCTTTTACAACGAAAAAAAAATGAATCGCTTGAAATTCAATTTCACACTTGGATATATTCTGGCGCGGAGGAATGGAGAGCGCGTGTGACGCGGTACATTTAAGTATTCAAAAGAGAGCTCATCGACTACTTTGAGCTTGTCGAAGCGCGGAAATGCACTCTGCACAAAACAGTGCTCCAGAAAAAGAGAGAGGGATAGGAGAGAGATAAAAAAATGTATAGATATTCTTAAGGGGCGAAAGCTCGATATGGGAAATCGAGCATGCAAAGTGTATGTGTATATGCGAAGCAGGACACTTGATAGATATACGCTATAAATGTTTTATATTATATATTTGTGAGCACGTTTAGAGAGTCAAGCGTTTTTTACGCTACGGTGGATTGTGTTCATCGAATATTCAGATACGGCGCACGATTAAAAAAAGCTCAAAGAGTCTATAATAAAGATTCAAATTCGCTCATACGCTTTGAGTGCGTGTTATATCGATAGCAATCTTTACTATTATTTTTTAATCTACCAAAAATAATAAACATTTAGAACAAACTTGCTACACTTACGTTATTTATTTACTTTTTACTTATACATTTTATACATATTATTTTACATCAAGTTTATTCGCATGATATAAATCACATCGCATTCATCCGCTACAAACTTGACGTATTTTTCGTTATTTGGCATCGTATATATCTCCCAATCTCTCGGCAATCGGAAAAATCAAGTAGACTCGGGTTTTCTCCTCATTTTTGTTGTGTGCAAACATACTAGAGGCAACAGAAAAAAGGTCGAGTCTGAAACTCACCACTATATACCGCCGCCATGATCGAAGCTGCCGGTTATCGTTTCAATATTAGCCTCGTTGCACACAAATGTACGAACGAAATAATAATCATGAAGCTCGAGCGCAATATGCACCTCTGCCATGCATGGACGCTCATATGCGCGTATGTACATATGCGTACGAGCGGCCGCCGTGTGCGTATATACATCTTCATTGTGCCAGAGAGACGAGCTTGCGCAGGCCGTTAATCTCTCTCTGTACTTACCGAGTTTGCGCTTCGCGATTATCGTCATTATTATCGTCGTCGCGCCGCTGCCGATAATGAGGTTGAGGGCTTTCTCTCTCTCTCTGTCTCTCTCTCTCTCTCTCGGTGCGAAATGGCAAAACTCCGCAGCAGCAGAAGCAACGCTGCACCAAATTGAAATCGCGCCACTTAAAAAGTCGACAAATTCGTATTTTGGAACAATATAAGCATAAAATTTATACTTTACTGCAGTTTCGTAGATGTATAAAACAATTGTGTAGAGTACGCGACTCAATGCCATTGATAACTGAAAACGTCGAAGTAATTGATTCTCACTCGGTAATGCCATAAAAATTTTTTTGTACAAATCATATTAGCTCCATATGTACATGTGGTATTTACTAACACCTCAAACACTTTCTTCTTTCTTTCTTCTTTTTTTCGTTTCTCGCAGCTGTCGATACAATAATTATTCGTTAAGAGTATTTTACAGATATTGTTCGCAAATTATCGTTTGTATTTTATCGAGAGAAGAATAAGACGTGCGAAGTATATAAAATTATGAACGACTCGTCGGTTTGGAAAATGCTTTCTTCGTTGCATTTTTCTTTTTAAGTTCGGGTAATATTCATAAAAATGTCATTATTTCATCAAACGCAAAGATAAAAATTTCATACACTCCGTATTATACAACAGTCATAAATTGTCTCGAAATGTTCGAGGGCTGTCAATTTTTCTGTGTTTTTTTTTGCTCATTCATCTCAATTTTAACAGAAAGAATAATTTCTTATTTTGTACAATTTGTATAATTAATGTAAAACTTAGATATATCTTTGTAACAAATTTATAATATTTATGTGAGCTCATAGTTCAGTCGTGGCCACACCCCAGTACTGCTGCATCCTGTTGGCGTCCTGCTCGAGCGAGTCCAGGGCGTTACCGCGCTCCTGTATGACGGCAAAGTCGTACTCGAGATTGTAGGGCATCAATCGCTGAAGACTGCCGAAGTACGCGGCGTTAGGGCCACCGTTGAGGACGCGCCGGCCGCTGCCGCCGAAAGCCGAGCGCAGAATCGGCACAGGCTGATGTATCGTGGCCGTCGTCGTCGTCGAGGCTGCACCGGAGGTCGTTTCGAATGATCGGGCGCTGCCGAAACGCCGTGACAGAAACGGCACACTCGAGGTTGCGCCGAGTTGAGGCGTCGAGCGCGATTGACCTACGGGATGAAATGATCATTTTATCATCATGAAGAGTCGAAAAATTACGAATTGTTGGAGGCAAAAACATCAGGGATCATTACCACCTCGACGCAACAGCGTGGCAGAATTCGTCGTGGATGAGATGGAGCTAGCCTTGGGCACGCTCGTCAGTGTGTCGAGCTCCTTGTCGAAGAGCAGCTGCGTATTCTGCTCGAGCATGTATTCCCAGCACCTGAGCTGCTCGTCGCTGGGCGGCGAATCTCGCTCGATTATCACCTGCTGCTGTTGCTGTTGCTGCTGTCGGAGCTTGCAAGCGCTAGCCAGACGACTGCTGCCCGAGGCTCGACGTCTAGAGCGAGGCTCGAACAGGCCTATCTCGCTGGCCTGATCGGACTGACCGCTCGGCGAGCTTCTTTCCTCGCGCAGCTGGTTGTCTTTAGCCAGGCGTTGACTCGAACGACTCGATTTCACGCTCGATCTGTTTGTATCATATTATTTCATATATTCAATCGAATACATTGACAATGTGGATCGAGTAAATGCATAAATTTTTATATACGAAGCAAATATTTATATACGCGCGTGCTTAACGTTATTATGTAAACATATACACTATATGTATGAATCGAATCGCACGTCTCTGATTTGGAAAAACGAGCAAATAAATATAATCACATGTAAATATCGATGTAGCTGGTTTTATCTGAATGGCCATAACCCGTCACAAATTGAACAAAATCGTAAAGATGGTTTCAATAATATTAGAATGCTGAATATAACAAAAATAGTGATTGTTTATATTGATTCTAACAAGAATAAGCGATAGGAAGTATAGGGCAGTAACACTTTATCCGTGTGCTAAAAAAATTGTTTCTTTGAAAAAACAAAGACATGTCGAAAACTTCTTATCCTTATTTACTGTGCTCTAATAAGGTAATATTCTTTTCCACGAGCTGGCAATCTCTAAATACATGTACTTTTGTCATTGAAGCAACTAGCCGTCGTAAAATTTTTACTGTTTTTATAATAATGGCATTGGGAATGAAAAATCCTGGAAAATACGTTTTTCATGATATTTTGTAGATTTTCGTTTACGTATCGTAGAAAATCCACGTTTTTCAACGAGAGAAGATTTGTATTTTACATCCTATAGTTTCGTTTTTTATCTTTTATATTTATTAGAATAAATGTAAATAATTATTCTGTTGTTGTTATTTCCATTAGTATTTTACGTGATTGAAATGGTCTTTACGATTTTGCAAAATGATCGCGGTAGGTCATGAGTGGGTAGCTTCAGCTACGTTAAATAAAGTCGCGTTGATCCAATCCGTACCTACATACAGGCGCGCGTGAATAATTCGTAGTATCGAGGTGTTGAATTCGATGCCGAGTGCACGATTTTTTTTGCCGTAATAATATTTCCGTAAATTTAATATTTACTATATCATGTATGCTTGGGCAAACGCGTGAACTCGATTACAGTTCAGTTATATTTACTTTTCGATGTAAACAAAATTTGCACGTGCATAATACATTTGTTATCTTTAAAGAATTAAACAGCGACTGGTACGATTTAACACAAGGAAGAAATTGTATTATACGTGGTTTCCGATGAGAATTGAAACCGTCTTGATGTTTTTCAACAAATTTTTAAATAAACGAAAAATTGCAAGCGTATATTATCCTGAAATTGTCGTAATATTACCAACCTGTTACTCATGAGGTTTCTCAGTACACCATTAAGATAAAAGCCGTTAACGGAGCTGGTCACAGAGTCGTTATTTCCAGGGGATGTTGTACCAACAGCTGCCACAGCTGCAGCGGCAGCCGCGGCGGCGGCATGACAACAACAAGCTGCCGAAGCTTCATTGGCAGCCAGTCTGGGCATGCAGCACGGACAGGTACAAGCACCACTGGCAGCGGCTACATCTTTGCTCTGCTGCGCTTTGTTGTATTCGTGCATGAGCAGCCTATTGATTTGTTGTTGCGCCTCGTCTTGCCGATGATTGTGCAGCGGCTGTTGCGGTGGCTGCTGCTGCTGCTGAGGATTATTACGACTAGCGGACAGCCTTACGACCAGTACACTGAGATTATCCTCGGCTCCATAAGCTTGAGCCAAATCTTGCAGTCGCTTGGCCGCCAGCACGGGATTAGCCTCGGCGCGGGCCTCCCTCACGGCCTCTTGGATGCTCAGCACTTCCCAGAGACGACGATTGCCGATTATCACGAACTCGTCGTCGGGCTCGATGATTACCTGTATGAGCAAAAAAATTACACTCAATTTACATACGACTATATTGAATCAAATTATACGCATACAATTAATATAATTGAATCGGGTTATACTTTGTAACCACGACGAAAATTGAATGATTTTTCGCTTGTTTCGCCTCTCACATATTCGGTTAAAACTGCAGTTTTCCAACATTCGCTTCATTTGGGTGGATTTAATGAGAATAATGTGACATTTTTTCCAACTCGAACCCAATTAAAATTTACAACGCCTTTACAACACGCCACGCGCAAAATTCATTACGCGCGCATTATAAATACATGTTCTGTATAATGTACAAACGTAATATTAATTCAACGCGCAGTGCCCCCGATATAATATACGCAAAGCTCGCAAAGAGAAGGCGAAAAAAAAGGCATTAACGCAATTCCTCTGCGTGTGCGCGCGAGCTTTCAAGCTCCAAAAATAATGAGCGAGATTGTGTTTTTCTTCTCGTTTTACTCTTTTTCTCGCTCGCTCAACGTTATACGTATGTCGGACACGCGTGCAGTGCGTAAATTTTTGCTTGACATAACGTTTTTATACAAGCGCGCATATTATTATTTTGGCTGCGCGCGCAAAAAAGCATTTCAATGCGTATTTTCCCGTTGTTATATCTCGGGCTGCGTTAAATTATTGTCATCATCTCGATATTTGGAAGGGGTAAAGTACCATACAATATACGAGCTTTTAATCGAGAGATGAAAAAGAGAAAAATAACGCCGCGTGCTCGAGTCTCGAGGGACAAGTAATTTTTGAGCACATGACTCGGTCCGCTGCAAAAGAATATCGCATTATACATATGTAATTCGCGAATATCCGTCAGCATCCCTTTACAATTGTTCTTGCTCCCAAAGCTCATTAACTCGAATCGCGCAAAGTGGAAAAAACTCGCTCGGCTCGCATATAACAAAGAAAAAACTCACCTCCTGACTCGTTGGCTCGGGCATGGCGATCGGTAGCAGATTTCCACAGCGCGTCTTCTGCTCGGGAGCGCCAGCGGCGGCGGCGGCTCGGCCAGCGGCACCGGGTGGCACGTATTGGGCCGCGTGACTCTTGGCCAGCTGGAGCGGTCCCGAGGCTCGGCACAGCACCGCCTTGGCCTCGCCGCAGGTCGCGGCCGTCAGCACGTACTTGGCCGATCTGACTCCGTTGACGTCGTTGGCCTCGGGGTCGTGCTCGAGGCGCCTCAGATGCACGAGGGCCGCGTCGACGCCGTAGAGCATCCGCATCTGCTGGTTGGCGTGGAGGGCCGACTCGTTGCGGGCCCCACCGGTGCGTATCTCCCGCTGGGCCGCCAGCAGGGTGTAGCGCAGGTACTCGTGACGCGTCTCCTTGACGGTGCGCTCCTGAAGCAGCAGTCGCGGAATCATCTCTTGGAGCGAGGTCGGGGCCTCTTGGCTGCTCGAGCCCCCGTCGAAGAGACCGAAGAGGCCCTCGGCGTTGCAGAATCCCGGCATTCGTACTTGGCTCACCAGCAATCTGCAAAGGAGCGCATATTCGTTGGTCGTGAGTTTCGCAGCTGCTGCACGTACCAGACGCATTAAAAGCTCGTCCGTTAATAGCGTTTCAACTGAATTCCGACGTATTGGCCGCGGAGTTTAAGTCTCGAGAGTCACGAATGTACGTTTCAAACTCAATTTATTATCTATGCCTTGGCTTCTCTCCTGCCCACTTTCGTGAAATATACAATATCAAATCCATAGGCAAGAAGCGCGCGTCGTGTACGTGAGCCCGGTGGAGCTTTGATAACAGCATCAAGGCAATTTGCGCAGTACATAGTCGCACTACAACTGTCATTGTAATTTCCTTCTCGAAACTTACCTCTCTCTGGTGCCGGCGGTCTCGGAGAAACCCAATCTCCAGGGCAGGTGGACGACTTCGCGGGCGTGCTGACCTCGCACCGGCGTCGTGCTGGAGCTGGCCACCGACGAGGCGCCGCCGGCCGTCAGTGGCCCGTTGCCGTCGCTCATGGGGCCGGCGCCGGGGCTGCCGGATTTGCTCTGGCCGGACACGTCGACGAGGCTGAGGGGTCGTCTCGTGCTGTTGTAGTGCTGAAACTGGCGCGGATCGACGCGCAGACGCGAGTTGCAGGATATGTCGAGGAACTGCAACTGCGCCGACAGAAGATCGTCGAGATTCAGCCGGTCCAGATGGTTGTGAGCCAGATCGAGTACCTGCGACAGTTTTGAATTTTTGATTAATTGATCCTGGAGCAGTATGCTGTACGCGTGTACAGGCGCAGCCTCGTTCATCAACGCTTCTGCAGCTAGGTATACACGGGCTAGAAGCCCCGAGATTCACGCGCCGCGCCGTTGCTCGATCTATAGCGTGCACGTATCCGGGCAAAAGCGAATAATTGATGTATGCGCCTCGACGCTCACCCAGTCTATGTATTCGCAGTTATATACGCGCGTATATATGCATCGCTATCGTGGCAGCTGACTCCATATTTATGACTGTATGAATACGTTACTTCCTTGAGGATTTTACCTTGTTAATGAAAAGAGTCGAGCGCGAGTACTTATATTCATGATTAATTTAAAAGCTCCGCCGTCTGTCTCGCCCTCCCTTTCCTCTTCCTTCCTCTCTCACCCTCTCGCTCTTCGGAAGTCTTAATGTCTCAATCGGCGGAGTTAAGTTCGTTAAAGGAATGAAAATGAAGAAAAGAGGCACGACTTTGAACAATTTCTTTGAAATCTGCACCGTAGTAGTTGCTTCAGTCGCGCAGTATCAGCACAGCGATGTTAAATTCAATTTCAAAGTATCGTTTTCTCTCTTTCTCTCTCTCTCTCTCTCTTTCTTTCTTTCTGTGTCGGCTGCTGCGTGGCACGCGCGGGGCGGAAGAGGAGCAGAAAAAAGGAGAGCTCAGAGCACTTAATTAAAAGTTAAAAATGAATTTGAAAAGCTGTAAGCTGGAATTGTATGCAGCCGCCGCCGTTGCCACCACCGCCGTTTCATTCGGCCAACCTCTTTTAATGTATGGAATCTTTCTCAAGCTTAATGTTCTTTTTTAATATCGCATCAAGACATTTTTAAATATTCATTTCGAACGCTCTCACCCTTACTTTTGAGACGCGCGTTTACAGGCCAAGTCAGCGTGTCTTCGGCCTCTTTTCTTCTCTATTTTTACTTTTCATCCCTTGAAATTTATACACTTATTAAATATTTTTAATAGCGAGACGAAAATGAGTCGAAACAAAACAAAAAAGGAGAAAAAAATCTGAAATTAATAATCCAGTTCTTTGGGTAAACCTAAAGGTTCCGGTGCAGTGCTGCTGCTGCTGCTTATTACATGAAGGCGGAATTGCCTCCCGCGGGATACGGTACGTCGATGTGGGCGCGCGTACACTGTCTACGACGTTGACTAATTATTCTCCATAAGCTACCAGGCATCTCTCTTGCTCCCTCTCTCCCTCTCCCTTTTTCTAGGTACTTAATACGAAGCCCTCTTCAAAGATTAAAAGCCGTGCTATATATACATTCTAATTCGAAAGGTTTGTATAGCTATACACCTGCTATCTACTGTCGATCTATCCGTATACATGTATAGTTTGAGAGACATTGATATTGAATGCGATTCGAGTCAGAAGCGCTGCGGCACGATAGGTCAAAATAAACCTATATATGTAATGTGCAGTCTTATACTATATATAGCTACGTGATAAAGCTATCTCGAGGTAAAAGCTACTTTACTTACCTTGAGGGAAGAAGTTTTGTTGAAGGCAGGACAACTTAAAAGTCGATTGGAATGAACTCGCAGCACCCTCAAGTGGGCCAAATTCGCCACGTTATCCGGCAGATATTGCAACTTGTTACCCGATAATACCAGCTCCTCGAGTTCGTGCCACGAGCCTATGCAGCTTAATTGGGGGAAAAAGCAGACAAGAAGAAAAACATCAGACAAGAGAAAAGAAAATTATTAATTCAGCGCGTTTAATTCTTACCAGATATATCGCGCACTCGACTTTCGAGAGCGGTGCATTATAATCGCACGCGATCAGCAGACGTTTCGTACATACATGCGAGCACGCGATTGATATATTAAACAGCCCGCGATTACACGTACACACGTTCACATCGTAGCGAGTGAAAATTCAATTTCACTATTTAAATTGCAGCAACGTATGCATAGAAAATGTATGATTTAAAAAAAAGAAGAATAAGCCGTCTTCTCTTCGGGCACACGTAAAAAAGCGTAGTTCAGCAGCTGCTGCCTGCTTGGCAAATTTATAGCCACGTGTACGCGAGGATTAGTCTCTTTTTCGGGGTCGACGCGAGCCAGCGACCGAGTGCAGTGGGATTCGTCGATTTACCCGGGGAAAATTGCATTATTTTAAACACGCCTGGCATTACGGTATTTTTTATATAAAATGCAGAAACACGCTACAAGACACGGGTCAATTAATTAAAGTCCGCTCGAGAATTTAAATAACGATCAGAGCAGCTTGTATGCTGCGGAGGAATTACACACTCGAAAGCTTATCGCAAGGACGACGGACGCGCAGTGCAGGCAAAAAAAAGCTCCGATCAGCGTATTATAGCTCGAGTATTATAGCCTCTAGCAAGATAAAAGGGCTTACCTCTCGGGCAGAGCATCGATGGAATTATAAGCCAAATGTAGCACCCTGAGAGCTTGAAATTTGGCAAGAGTATCGAGGGCCGTGTTGCTCAATCGATTGCCCGTCAGATAGAGCTTTTCCAGGCAGCTGCGGGAACGATCGACGCAGGCCTCCTGATGACGGCCTATCCTCGTCGTTGTCGATGGCTCCGTGTAGCCCGTGGGCAGCTCGGACAGGCGATTGTTCGACAGGTTCAATACTTTCATCCTGGCGAAGCGAATGGACGAGAGCGAGCGAGGGAGGGAAAAAAAGGAGACCAAAAAAATTAGACTCTTTTGTTTTCGTGTTTCTATAGGTGCACACATCGCGTATACACTGATGCGGCGCGCTACCTCTCGCGCCTCTCTTTTGAATTGCATAATATATTATCCGAGGAGCGAGCCAAGATAAAGCACATAGCTCCATTAGAGCTCGAGCCGCGACCTTTACTCTTTCCTTTTTCTCTCTCTCTCTCTCGCTTTTTTTTCTTCTTTTTTTGGCGTTAATTTGTGGAGCTCGTTAAGGAGCCGCCGCACCGGCCGTGAGATGGAAGATGTATGTCGCAGTGAATTTTTCGACGTTACGTGCTGCACACCTTTTGCACCAACTTTTAACTTGATTTTCCGCTCAGCGTTTCGGAGCGCCCGACCAAGTGTGGCTACGCGCACGTCTGCATAAGTGTTTAATGAACTTTCGATGTGTGCACGATTCATCAAGCGCAAAGTCTCGTGTACAGGCATCGTAATTGTCGTCAACACAAAAACTGATATGCACATAAAAATTAAGCCTCGTTCAGTTTTACTGCGGGTGCGAGATTTACTTTTATACGGAGTTTTTGTCACGGCTTAACTCGCTTATTATCGAGTTAACTGCTTGTGCGAGCACGCGCCAACGCCAAGAATTACTTGATTAACTTGTTTGAACTGCTGCCGACGCGAGCTTGCGCGTAATATTTAATTATTGCATCGTAATCGTCGCGAGCAGCGAGTTAATTTTCGATAATTAAAAATTATAGACGTCCGTGTACCGTGCCCTTCGTGCGAATCATATCAAGTTCGACGTATTGGAAAAAAGGGAGAGAAAAAAAACGAAAAAAAGACGTGCTAAAACAAACGCTATAACGTAATATAATACGGGCTGGCGCTAAAACGTACTTGAGGGTATTGTGGAAGAAATTGGCTGGCAAAGCCGTGAGCGCATTGTCCTGGAGCGTCAGATGCACGAGGCCGAGCTGTCTCCTCGGCGGCGGCAGAGCTTGAAGCCGATTGTGCGGCAAATGAAGCACCTCCAAGCGCGACGAGGCCTGCTGCGACAGCAAGCGATCCGGCAGAGCGGTTAGAAGATTGTGCGAGGCGAACAGGGCACGTAGCACCGGCAAATCTGGCGTCCATTCCGGCAGGCTATCCAGTTCGTTGCTGCACGTTGAAAAAAAAGTACAAAATAATAATAAAGAAGCGTACTGATTTTTTTTTTATTCGCATGTATTCGCACTTGTATCGTGTATGTACGAGTGTCTTTACTGCGCTACACAAACGACTTTTGAATATTCAAACGATGAATGTTTTCACGCGCTAGTACGTAATATTTGGATGAAGCATCACTAAAAGCTTCCCATATACGAGCTTTCAAAAGCTCGAGTGTAGCGAACTCTTCAAGATTCGAAACGTAGAGTAGCGTTGAAAAATTATTTCTTTTGCATGCGCGCACTCGCGTTTTTACGGCTCTATACACATTTGGGTGAGCGTGTGTGCGTGTGCTTGCATACGATGCTTTTATGTTTTGACATGCTTGTACACAAACACATGCTGAACATGTATATACAAAAGAACAAGCAAACAGCTGCGAAAAAGAAGTCATAATTACTCACTATGAAACATCCAGATGCTCCAGGTTCGTCGGCACCGGCACAATGGTCAATTTTTTCAGCTCTGCGATTTTCAAACGTAGAATAACAGCGAAGCAAAGCAACGAGACGACACAGCGCATAAAACAGAGAAATAAAAATAACAGTGAACAAAAAAAATGTGCAGAACGGAGGGGGAGGACTGCAAGTATGAAAATGAGAGTCAACACTATGTGTTATACATTCGTTAAAAAAGCAGAAATAATAAGGCACAAAGCGTGCAAGCTTTAGACTTTAGACTTGCTTACACGTATATAAAAATACTGACTTTATAGCGTCAGATATAGACGGGCCAAGACAGTAACGAAAGAAAGTCTATAAGGAAGAAAGTGATGGATAGCAGAGAGAGAGAGAGAGAGAGAGAGAGAGAGAGAGAGAGAGAGAGCTTGCGATGCTCAAGCACAGCAGTAAGAAAAAAAAAGAAGGCGCAAAAAGTATAGACCCTTGTCGCAAACTACGTTGTTTATTGCAATTGCTCTGTGAGTGCGTATCTCTTACTGTTATTTCCGGCGATAAGGGAGACGAGACTGCGTCCGCAGAGAGTCAATTCCGTCAAGACGTTCCGGGCGCATCGTACGCTTCGCAATTCCTGAAGCGCACTCAGATCGAGCTTTTCGATACTGTTCTCGCTCAGATCGAGATGCGTCAGATTCTGAAAGGAAAATAAAAAAATTCATACATACAAACATACAGGAACAATAAATATAAATTCATCCAATGCACAGCCTAAATATAACAAGCTGGAACTATACGTGTCTTGTGTGTGTGTATGTTATACCTATATTATATATTGCTTTTGATACGAAAATATAATGAGGAGTTGCTAAGCGACTACCGGATGAATTCTCTCTTTTTTCATCTTCTTTTTGTATCGCGCACAAACTAAAATATAGACAGAGTAAGGCGAAATAAAAGGAAATACGCTAGCATATTTTGGAGGAAATGCGAATAACGTGTAATGTGTACGATATATCGGGGGGAAATTCTCAGGATCTGTGACGGCGCAAATTGTTGATATTATTTTTATTCGCGACGACTCGCGTTCTCGATATTTTCACTTCTTCATCGCTAATTACATCTATCGTGAAATTCTGTCGCTCTCACTTCTTATTATGCAGCGATCGCGATAGAAACTTTTAAAGATTTGCAAGTGTCTATTACCGTAAGAGAAAAAATGTCTTTATAATTTATTCGAAGCATCCTTGCAGAGCCAGAACGATGCGATATATTTTCTGCACTGCCAATAGTCTATGTTCATTCGTCCTTTATACGATATATGTAAGAGATTTATAAATGACTAGTCTTTTTTCGTGAAATTTATCATTTCAGTCAGACGCGTGACGGGCAATCGCTCAGACGCTTGAAAAATTAATCCAACTTACCCCGTAGTTACCGAGAATAATGTTGCCCTTCAATTGGTTGTTTCTCAGATTGACTTTGTACAAACTGTTGTTGTTGTTGTTGTTGTTATTGTTGGCCTTGCTGCTGTTCAAATTACTCTTCTCGTCACTGTTGCTTTTATTGGCAGCAGTAGCGGCATTAGCAGCAGCAGTAGCAGACGATTCTCTGCTCCCGGCCAGCACATCCTGCGTATACATGTAACGTGTATCAGAGGCATTAGTTCGATAAAAGAAAGATTTATCAATCGGGCTTTATTCTGTTAGAGGTAGAAAATGTACTCACGGTAAGAGTAAGTGCTCGCATCTCGAGCAAAAAGTCGGGCAGCGATTCGATCAGGTTACCAGCGAGCGATAATACGCGCAGCTGGCCCAGTCGGCCCAATTCGGCCGGTAGTTCTCGGATGACATTCCGATCGGCTATCAGCTCCTGTAAGCTGCAACGATATTCCAAAGCAAACGGTTAAGAGACAAACGAGCTTCGAAAATAGAGACAAGAAGAACAAAAAGAAGAGGGAAAAACACTCGAGGAAAGAAGAGTGAGAGAGCTGGATGCGATTAGAGATTGATGCTCTATGGCTATACAGAACAGGAGTTTCGATCGATGTGTCTATATACAGGGATAGGATTTAAAAGAGACATCTCGCAATCGCAAAGGCTCTTTGAAATTTGTTCTTTGTTATTTTCCCAGAATAAATTCCATAATAGTGTAATTTCAGCTTCGATTGATGCGGTTTGCGTGTATGCGTGTGTGTACGCCCACGGGAGGCAATAACTACGTACCATGTACACACGTTATTGTAAATTGGTCATTTGAAGCAATTCAGCGCGATGCGTGAAAAGATAATGCACATGCATATATATTTGTATCGTTTGAATTTTCCCCTATAGCTCTGTTATTTTACGATTATTCATGCGTAATGTATATTATATATTAAAAAGCAAGTAGCTATTTTTCGCTTCTCTGGAGTACATATTATATCATACATATAACGCGAACCGAGGTAAAAATTCCAAGGCAAAAGCGGATCGTGTGCATTAGTGACCTAATTATCAAAACCTGAGCATGCTGCTACGATGCTCTAAATAATGAATAAAAATGAGCAAGAGAAGACTAGGTAGCGCAAAATTTTCACGAAATAGCGAAAATGTAGGTAAAGCAGGGTAAAAAGAGAGACGCTATGTGTGTATATACGCGTATACGGCACGCGGCGAAGGGTGATTAATGACGCAGCCGTTATCTATTCGGCGTACAAGTGCGCAACACGTCCCAGGCAAGCACTCGCGCTCGCTCGGGAGAATGTTTTTGCGGCCAGCGACCGTATCATAAAGCCCAAATAGTTTAATTATACGCGCTCGCAATTTCAATGGGACTCGTATGCGTCCAGGTGAAATCTATTTCGTCATGTTTATATATACGTGTGTACATATATGCGCTCACACGCGTGTAACAACGACGCGTGGACGAGCTCGTGCCGCGCGCCTAGATAACTGTATCAAAAACGATGATCGATGAGCGCGAGCCCGGGCTTGCGCCGCCACTGCCGTTTTATAACTCGACGCGCGGAGCGAGCTCGCGAGCGTTACGCGCTGTATGCGTTATGTATACACGCCGCGCGGCCGAGAGAAAAAATGCATAAATTACAATACTTCCGGGCATCTGGGGAAATTAAAATTATAACGTTAATATCGCATATCAAATGTACTGACGTCGATCGATCCGAGCTTCTGCTGGCGGCATAACTCCGGCGCAGAAAGGAAAGTGTGCGCTGTTATTATCGAGCCGAGTGCACCTATGTCTGCAAACACACGTACAGACACACACGCGCGCGCGCACACACTGCTGCGGAGAGATTTTCCAGCTCTCTTCTTATTCTCGAATTTTCAGCTCTGGGCACTTAAAAAAGAGAAAGAAAGTAAAGAAGAAAAAGGGCCACACTCTGCACACTTGAACTTAAAAAAATAAGAATTGAAAAACTGGCGAACGAACTGCTGCCGCCGCCGCGGCTACACTTATAATACACTCGAGACGCGATCGCATACAAAAGCAACTGACGGACGGACACGCTTTTGGTCTCTTGTTGCTCTTATACTCTTTATAGCATACTGGCCACGCAAACTCTCGTACGGTATATACTCTACTCGGCTCGCTCAAGGAAAAGAGAAAGAGAGAGAGAGAGAGAAAGAGAAAAGAGTGTATGTGTGTATGGGTATAGTTATACTTATAGCACATTGGGCAGTAGCAGGTAGTTGCAAAGAGAGGAAGTCGAAAGGAGGAGAAGTTGTTGGCGTCGGCGGTGGTGCACGCGCGAGAGGCCTGCAAGGATGCATGCGATGTGCTCGGTACACACACCTACACGCGTATAGATGACCTGCTATGTACGATTCATGTATATGGTCAATTCTCTTCCAAATCGAATGATCAAAAAATAAAACGCATCAAAAAAAGCTCATTTTCCCTATTATCTGTCATTTTAGAGCTTTTCTCAAATTTACCATCACTCGCTTTTCAAAACGTTTAGATATTTTATGCATTTTTTTACTTATTCATCCATAACCAAATCTTAGAAGGTATAAGCTAGCATTGTAAAAAAGTTCTAAGAATTTTTCTGTGATGAAATTTCGGATCGATCTCGATTAAATTTTAACTTTGATGTTTCACCCCATAGCAGAAAGATTCTAAAGTGCTTTTAAACATTTTTTCTAACAATTTTTTCTAAAAATTTTAACAATTTCTAGTTTAGAAAGATTCCTTGCAATTTTTCTGCAAGTCCCTCTATACTTACCTAGGAATTACTTAAATATTAGCAATAGCCACGGATTTTGAAAAACGTCAACTTCAGACCTTTTAATGAGGGATTTGAAAAGTCTCCACAACTCTAATAAATTTCAGGGATTTTAACGATAGGGAGTAAAAGAACGCTAAAACAATAACAGTAGAAAAAAACACTTTTGGATCATTCGATTTCACAGAAAATCGGTCATATGTAACACACCGAATGAAAATTGCGCGGCAACTTTCCCTCCCTATACCGAGCATGGCTAGCTCTATCGGCAAAGTTTCGCTCATCGTATTCGTTCAAATATTTTCCCACTATATATCTGTGTATTGCTATATATGCCTGCGAGCTGTCTCTCGATTTTTTGTCTCGATGAGACTTTTTAACTTTCCTTTAATTCTTATACCTGTATACGCTTTTTTAAACTTTCAAGCGGCTATACGTCATTTTATTTCGCGAAATGGATGCGCCAATTCTAACGTTTTATATCGCATACTTATATACACCCTCATATATTATGAAAGATATTGATTTATCTTGCAAAAAGCTTTTTTATTGACATAGGGGCTCGCTAAGTCGATTAAAATGCGATTGGCAATTTTTCTAATGTTTCTCAAGCACGCGGAAGATTAATTTCAACTTTTTGTGCTCTCCACTCGTCCGGCGCGCAATTCAGTGCAACTGACGTTAAAAATAATTCACCTGAACGTCGTGCGTACTCCAACATATATGTGTATATTTAAAGTATGAATGTACAGCACGTAGCTTGGCCCTCGCTCGCTATACACATCAAGCTAAATGATAAATCTTTGTTGAACAAACAATTTTCCTTTTGGATAACCGAGCAACAAAGGAATTTTCCATGATAATAGACCGTTTCAGTAGTTCTATGCACATGCACACACACACACACACATACAAATGTATGCACGTGCATAGGCGAGCGGCCACTCAAACAGGTTTATGCTCTTGTATACTAGGAAAATAATCCCTTTTAGCCAGGTTACGCGTCAAAACAAAGCCCGAACCTCGTTTTCTCCCCCTCGAAGAACAATTGTAGACGAATTTGCTTCGTATATAACTACTCTACCACCACCCGCCACCGCCGCCGCTGCTATTGCTGCTGCTGCTGCTGCTCTGCTGCATTATTGTTTTTCTTCATTCTTTTATAACGCCGCTACTGAGGCTGCTACTGCCGCATTCGTGCGTGTATAAAAAAGCGCGTACAGCGATTTTTCTTCCGACTTTTGTAGTGGACTATTTTATGTAGTGGGGAAAAATTCATATGTGCGATCGGCGTTATGGGAAAAGTTACAATATCGTAAACATGTAAATTGCCGATTTCCACGCGAGTATTTTACGGGGCAGGCAAGATTCGCGCTTCATCAAATTCATAACTGCACCCTAATGGGCTCTTAACGTCTCATTAGCTTTATTCGCTTTCGCGTTTAATACACGATTCCCCAAAGGATAGATCTACTGCACATTATCTCTCTTTCTCTCTCTCACTCTCTCTTGTACACATCGCTGTGAATCTTATTTTTCTTTTTTTTTTTTTTTGTTTTCGACGATCGAGTAATGTTTGCATGTGCGAGGCCTATTTATATAGCGCATCAACGCGGTGCAACTGGCAGAGGCTCGCGCGCTCGACTGAGCCGACAAAATCGCGTAGAATACGTATACCATAGTTGCTGTGCAGTTCGGAGCTGTAGTGCACTGATGCGTTCAGTCGTCTATTCGATAATTTAGATGGAAAATTTCCAAGCCTCTGAAATTCATGACTCTTCTTTTTTTTCATTTTTTTTTTTCTTAATAGAGTGCGTAATATTCAATCTCGGCTCGGGGGGCCGTCCGCCAAGACAATAGAAGGCCTCTCGCGCGGTCTCGTTCGTTACCGAAGAAAAGCTACGAGCATTTCATATGGGATTACGTGCTATATACACTGCGCATAGTCTTTCGATTCAATCGCTTTTGTAATGAGATCGCGCGAGTTTTTACTTTTTTTTTATGAAGCTATTAGCACGAAATTAATTCTTTTTCACTGGCCTGTCATGCCTCGTACATATATACACTCGAAGAGCTTAGAGATTTTCGAGCCAACTTTTTTCCCCGCCTGCAAATTTTTTTCGATATAGAAAATAAGATTAAAGCGAGATATTTTTGGCTCGACCGGGAAAGAAGCTTTTCGAACAAAAGAGGAAAAATTATCAACTTCATAAGTCTCGATCGTAAAGAATGTTTCTAAAAGCATCCCAGCTCGGACTCGAGCGGTTCCAAAGGCATTATCGTACGTTGAATAAAATCGCGGACGAATTTGAGGGGATTTTCGTACATAAATTTGGGCTGTACACAACTGCGCTGAAGCACGTCCGTCCAAATCGACTCTGTCATTTCCGAGCACTTATTGCGCTTGGCGGTCAGCAGAAGGTAGGCACGAACGAGGCTTTAATTCATTTTAATTTTTCCATAAGTATACACTCTTTATACGTATAATAGTCTGGGAAAATGGAGTCGAAATGCCGCACAAGGCCGTATTATAATAATATGCATTATACACATGTGAAAATTCATCGACGTGGAGCCTTCCTTTCACCGACGTATATACAGTAGTACATCGTCAAAGGAAATACTTGTTTTTTCACTTGGATGCAGTATAT